CCAACCAGCACTCAGACAGGCACGGCCACACACACACTCAAGCCAACCAGCACTCAGACAGACATGCAGTCCAGCAAGCGTGCACACACAGACTTTGTAGCAAGTGGGAAACTCAGCAGGGCATTCACTCTATGGGCAAAACTCAGAAATCAGCTGTGTGTTTCAGTCCATGTTTGGACGGGTCATCACACTACTCCCCCCTCAAGAGCGAGGTCCCTTCAAGTGAGTAACTCATCGTAAGCAAGCAAGGCAAAGAGGTTTCTAGAGTATTCTGTTGCAGTGAGTCTTGCAGAGATCTTAGGTACAGCGTTAGTGGTGATTTGTCGCTCGTAGGCTTTGACAACGCGCGGTGCGCTGCGTAGCAGTTCCTGTTTGGAAATCCAGTACACATCGTCTAATGGGTGATACATGAAGCGAACCTGTGTCTGTTGCATCCCTTCCCTACGTGCTGTTTGATTCTGTCTATCTCATGCCCGCCTTTGATAGCACGAGGGATCATGTCTTCACGATAGTCGAACGTCTTAGCATCACGGTGGAGGTACAGTTTTGATGCATGGAACACCGGGTATGTGCGCATATGGGCTGGCACATCAACTACGTACGAAGGGCCAAAGTGGTCTTCGCCAATCACATCCAAAACTTCCCACGGTCCGTAATAGAGTGGGAGAAGTTTGCGAGAGACCCCTTCTTCTGAGAATTCAGACATCTTGACCCAGACATAGCTTCCTACCTGAATGTCCGATGGTCGGCACCCCTTGTCCGCGTGATGGATCATGGCATGCTGTCGCTTGGTCATGGCTGCAATGGCAACCTTGAGCAAGCGATCATACTTGGCCTTGAAGCCAGGCCTGCCGGGTGTTAAGCCTGTTGGCTGCTCAGGGAATAGGTAGGAGAGCGGATTACGGATCTGCCAACCGAGATGCAGCCTGTTAGGTGCCATGCCAATAGCAGAATGGATGGAGTTGTTGTACAACCCCCTAACGGAATATAGCTCTTCATCCCTTGTCTCCTGATCCGGGATAATCAAAGCGTGGAGAAGTTGGAACACAGTCTGGTTGATTTCTTCAGCCAAACCGTTGGCTTCAGGGTGTCAGCCAGATGTCATACACCGCCTGATCCCCAGATGAGACGTGAAATCCTTCCATTCAGTACTAATGAAGCGCGGATCCCTCGCTGAAGAGAGTCTTCGGGGTCCCGAACTGCAGAATGTACTTTTGTTGGAACTCATGAATCACTAATTCTGTTGGGGCATGCGGCGGCAAAGGGATCAGATTGAGGAACGTAGAGATGAAGATGGAGACGGACTCCCCGAGACCTTTCCCATGTCGGTGAAGTCGATGGAGACGGACCTTTCCCATGTTGATGAAGTCGATGGAGTTGATGGAGACGGACCTTTCCCATGTCGGTGAAGGGACTTAGAGATGAAGTTGATGGAGACGGACCTTTCCCATGTCGGTGAAGTCGATGGAGACGGACTCCCCGGGACCATCGGGAATGGGAAGGGGTGCGAGTAGCCCCATGGGCTTTTGTCCGCATGGTTTGATCCGTTGACAGACTTAACACTCAGCCACAAACTTTTCAGCCATTCCTTTCATCCCAGGCCAATCAAACTGTCGCAGCAGATTTGAGTACGTCTTTGCCATGCCGAAGTGTCCGCTCCAGCCAGGAGCCAAATCCAGAAAATGCGTGCGGAGAATCTCATGGTTGGGCACACACAAGCGGTCGTGGTTCCCGTAGCGACGAAAAATCAGTCCTCCATATTCGTGAAAATCAGGCTGACTACTAGGATCAGCCCGCAGCCGCTCAAGGATGGGACTAAGTTCCGGATCCTTGGTTGTCTACTCTACGAGCTCCTTCTCCAGTTTCTTCCGGAGGTCGTAGGATTTCACAAGGCAAGTCATGTACTCAGGGTGGCGAGACAATGCGTCAGCGACTCGATTATAACAACCCTCTTTGTGTCTCAACTCAAAGTCAAAGATGTCAATTTCATGGAACCAGCGAATTAGCGTAGGGGAAAGGGTAGTTTGTTCCTTGATCCACCTCAGGGTATGATCTGAGAACACTTTGAAGCGGCGTCCCCAAAGATAGTGCTTCCAATGGTCCAAAGCCATACGCAAAGCATAGAGCTCGCGCATGTAGGTGGAAGTGGCTACCTTCACGTTGGGCATGCGTTTGCTGTAGAATTCGAGCGGTCGCAAGCCATCGCCGTCATCTTGCTGCAGCACTGCGCTGATTCCATACTGACTTGCATCCGTAGTAACTACGAATGTCTTTCAAAGCTTGAAAGGCGTTCGTGCACGCGGTATCCCAAGAATAGGGAACATTCTTACTTGTCAGTCGAGACAATGGACGCGCAACAATGGAGTAGCGGGGTACAAACTTTCGATAGTATGACGCGAGACCAAGAAAAGAGCACAGTTCGCAAACATTCACGAGTTGAGGCCAGTTGCGTATGACCTCTACCTTGGTTGCCTCAAGCTCTAGGCCTGCAGCAGACAACCGGTGCCCAAAGATAGAGGACACTATCCTTCCCAAACTCGGATTTCTCTAAGTTGAGATGAAGTTGTGTCTTCTTGAGGATGGTCAGTACTTCCTCAAGGTGCTTGAGGTGTTCCTCCATGGACTTGCTGAAGATTAGTCGGGTTTCTCTAGGCTTGATCCACCCCTTGTCAATCATCTCATCAATCTGTCGCCGGACCTCCAACTCGTCGAGTCCCATTCGGTATACGCAACGCTTTGGAGGAACAACACCTTCAACCAACTCGATGGTGTGTCAGACCGATTGTGTGGGGACTCCACGTGGCTCGGCCAAAACTTATGAAAACCGATCGAGGAGGTTTTGGATGTCTGGTGGGACCGGTGGGGGTGGGGGATCAGCAAAGGGATCACCTAGATCCGGTCGCAAGTCGCGTATAGAGACGACTGAATCTGAAGTAGGATCATT